AAACCCAGCTCCGCCAGGGTGTTTTCCCTCTTGCAATCTCTTCTGCGAGTGAAGCGGTTGTAGTACTCCTTCATGACTAAGCGCATGGGGACAGAATGAGACGGTAAGGATCCACCCAGTGGTAACAACTGTGCAGTTGCCATAGAACGGTGATATGAAACAGCTATTTCAGGATCCCGTTTTCTTTACTGAAAATTCAGTTGAAATCTTACCCCCCCCCCCAAATAATGTAAATAATCCTGCAAACTACAGGAGGGCTGTTTGAAAAACTTCTATCACAGATTCATAGCCAGTGTTTCTCTCACTGAAGGGATCCATCTGTGTCTCCATAAAGCTCTCTGCAAAAAGTGTTGTGCGAGGGGCGAACGCTGCCAGCAATCTGGCCAATGGCCCATAGAAGAGGGGAGTGAACTGTGACTTCAGCACAAATTTCACACCAGGAAGTCCGTGGGCAGCGCCCACAGAATCAGGGCAGCTGAAGCATCAGTGGTGTCCCTTCCGTAAGGCCCCAGGTAAAGACGAGAGCACTGCTTTCTTGATAACAACAACTGCTGACGTTTGTTTCATTCAAGAGAGGAAAATCTAGGCAAATTCACAAACAATGAAATAATCAAATGGAGCTTGTATACAAAAATATGTGGGCATATAAAAATGCGAGATTTTTTTTGTGTGTGTGCATGCGCGCGCATGTGTGCGTATTTGTCTGAAGACGGTTGCATTAACGCATGGGTGCAGGCAGGCAGGAGACAGAGAGGGGGAGATTTATGGCTCTAGGCAGGCCTGTATATGTAAGGGGGAAGCCATGTTGGGTCAGATGCATGGGCTTTTGGCCGGGGGATTGTGGTGCAGACTTGTGGTCCATGGATTCCTAGGGGCTTTTGTCCATTTGCCTGTGGAGGGGTTGCGTGCAGATATGAGTGTGTCTGTGAGTGTGTGAGACCTTTCAAAGGAGAGGCAAAGGTACGCCAGAAGAAAAGAGTGTCATGCGGTGTGTGAGCATCTAAAAGCACCCAGAACACTGGAAATGTTCTTGCACTCATCTTGCTCAGAGAAAGTGTAAATACACACTACAAATGTAAACTGGCTTGACGTCAGCTTCATTGACGTGGCTGCTCCTAAAGAGTCTTGGGAACTGTAGTTTGGTGTGATTGCTGCTGAGAGTCCTGCCAAGAGACTCCCTCGCTCTCCCCTCATACGATGGTGGTTCCTCTAGACAGAGGGCCTGGCTGTCTGTCCCTTTCTGCGCCTGAGAGCACAGCCTATGTGGGCAGCCCCTGTTCCCTCCAGCGCCCACCCGGGTGCCTCTGCCAGCTCTCCCCAGGGCTCGTCACACCTGCTCCGATTTGATGTGTTCCGAGGCCTGGAAGACATCAGGGTAAGAAGGACGTTCGAAGACTCGATCCAAAGCCTCCAGCTGCTGTTGCGTGAAGGTGTCGGCACGAAGGTGTTTCCGCAAACTGTCCACACTACTCTGGGAGTCGCCATTCGGAACGGAGCCCTCGGAGATTTCTGGGAGATACAGAAAGAGAAGACAGGGCATTAGTGAGGCTTGCCCTGGAAAGTACCCGGCACTGTTTCTCAGTTCTCTTGGCAAGGGAGTCCCTCCAGACACTTCCTCACCACCCACTTCCGAGGGGGGGGGGTCTGTGCTCTTCTTCCCTTTCAGAGGGAAAAACTGGTGGGCTTCCAGACCCTGCCCTCTCTCAGTGACTCCTTCCCTGTGCTGGAGGTAGCAAGGTCACTTGGGTCCAGGGGCTTGTATCAGCAAAAGCATCGTGGGGACGTGGCCCACAGCCTGGAGTTGTGTGTTGTTGGTTCCCACTGTTAAAAAATGATCAAGATGGGGCAAATCCAAGCAATCAGCAAGGATGCCTCCACTGCAGCTAGCCTCGGAGCGATGCCTTCAGCAAGCGGCGTGAGGGTAGCTCTTGGACTGCACTTCCAAACAGGTATCAACCAAACAGCTTTTCAGGGCCACTTTGGCCCATGTGCCCTCTCCTCCCAGGGTCCTCCGGGGCCATCTGTTAGAGGAGCCCAAAGAAATGGTCCTTCTCTACTCTGTTACCTCCCTCCCGACTGCTCTATATGTCAGTTTATACGTGATTATACAATATGATATAATCAATATTGCATTATATACAGTAACCGAATACGATATCACTTGTAAGACCATGGACAATATTACATATTGATTAATCCAAGTTCACTGCCTCCCCCTCCTCCCCCTCTCTGTGGAGAACCCTTCCCTTCCCCACCTCCCTTCCACAGAGACAAAGTGGGATCGCTGCCAACCAAGGGCTCTGAGCACAAAACCGGTTTCGATCACTCCTCCATCGAGACAGGCAGACTAACAGACAGGCCCGTCTTGACCTAAATCGAGAGAAACTCTCTACAACTATGATGATGGCTGGAAAGAAGAAGAGGCACGACCCAGCCAGAGTTAAGCTCTTAAGAGAGCCAAGCGCAGGAATCATTACCGTTCTCATTCAGAGAGGTGGAACTCAGAACTGTTTTAGTGCAACGGCACCTGGAAGTGGGACCATGCTGCCCACGCTGTTCATCAGGGCAACGAACCCCCCCCCTTTTTGCCGTTTCTGCCTTCAGGTGGGCCGTAGAAAGCAAACACATCAGCACGGTGGAGGAGCCTGCAATGTATCTGCTGCGTGTGGAAAGTACATTTTGAATCTTGGATAGACGCGTGATCAATTTTAGGCCTTAGGCACCTCTCCACCTGCTTTTTCTGCATCCAGAGAAGGAGACACACCCAAAGAGGCTGGTAACAAAAGAAACCAGACAATCGATTTAGGGACTAATCCTGACACGGAATGGCTGGTTGTCCCATTTGCTGCTGCTGCTGCTGCCATTTTGGATTTCCCTCCCTGCTGCCATTCCTGCCTGGACCCCTGTCCTGCCAAAGAGGTCCACCGAGGCTAGTTGGCGGCTGGGGAAATGAATCCACCGCCCACCTCGGGGTTCCCCACCATATGCTATGGCATTGCCTTGCCTCACAGCAGGCTGGGCCTCTCCTCGCTGTGAGGGACTCTATCTGGCATGGCAAAGGGCACGGGAAGAAGAAGAAGAAGAAGAAGAAGAAGAAGAGAAGCAGAGATTGGATTTCTACCCCACCCTTCACTACCCAAAGGTGTCTCAGAGCGGCTTACAAACTCCTTTCCCTTCCCCTCCCCACAACAGTCACCCCCTGTGAGGTCGGTGGGGGTGAGAGAGCTCTTGACAGAAACTGCTCTTTTCCAAGGACAGCTCTTATCAGAACTACGGCATGCCCAAGGTCATCCAGCCAGGTGCAAGTGGAGGAGGAGTGGGGAATCAAACCCGGTTCTCCCAGATGAGAGTCTGCGCACTTAAACACTACACCAAACTGGCTCTCACTGCCTCTTTGCTTCTACCTATCAATAAACCCAATACCATTAAGCCCCCAGTCTTTCCTCCTCCCGGGAGAACTTTCCCAGGTGAAAAACAACATCACCACCACCACCACCCCCCGGGATTGGTCACCCCCTAGAGACGAAGGAGCACATTAACACCATGTTCCTTGAGTACCCGGCAACACGGCTGATCTGGGTTGGTGCACAACGTTGGATGGCAAAAGGGTCACTGAACTGCAGAGCAGCAGTGTGTGGGGCGCAGGACCCCCGTGGTGGCCAACTCTCTCTCCAGGGGGCTCTCATGACCCAGGCTGGTCCTAATGGAAGGGAACCCCAGGCAGGGGCAAGCAGGGCGGCCCGCAAGCAAAGAGGCGGACAGCGCAGAGTCTGGGCAAGCTTGACTTTCACTCTGCACAGTCTACAGGATGGGAGGAGAGACATTTTCAAGTCCGTAAGTCCCCCCCCCGCTTCAGTGGGAGACCGCTGGGGGAGGGGCCTCCGCAGCCTTTCCCTTGGGGGGAAGCTCCCAAAGCGCCCCTCCCCTCATGCACAGGCCGGCGGGACCAGGGGCTGCCAGGCACAGCAGAACGAGGGGGCCGCCCTTAGTCCGGCTCCTCCGGTGTCAGTCAGCAGGCCCGCTCCCTCTCGCCCCAGCAGAGGACCCCCGACAGATGGAGAAGACAGGTTGGACTGAAGCAGTGCCTGCCCCAGCGCTCCGAGAGCCAGCAGGGTGTCACAGTTGGAGTGTCAGACCCCTCAGTGTCTCCTCAGCGAATCCCCACTCTGCCATGGAATCCCGCTGGGTGATCCTGGGCCACACACACTCTCAGCCAGACCTACCTCACAGGGCTGTTGTGAGGATAAAACGTCTCTGCATCTGAACAAACCTTCACTAAGGGTTTATTATTTTCCTAGCCACGGTTTCTGCGTGTCATACAAACATCTTCAAGGAGTGTTAATCAGTAATTCATCTTCAAAAGGCACGTTACGTCAAGCGTTCTACAAATCAAGGCGTCATGTTTGCACGGCAAAGAGACGGAACGGAACTTAATCCGGAGGTTCTCATCGGCAACCACTTTGTAATGAGCAATCACTTTATAACGTTATCAATAGGTTTGATTGCATTCACAAAGGCTTACGTAGAAATGACACCTTTCTTACCTGCTACACAATTTCAGTTGCTAAAGATAACTAGGCAAACTTACTATGGCCCCGGTCACACGGGCCGGATATCGCGGGGGGAGGCATGGCTGTTTGCCCTGCAGTGAAATAACGCACGACTGCGCGATCAGGTGTCCCCTCACGGTCCCGTCGAGGTCTCGTGGTTAGGGGGGAGGTGCTGATCACACGATGCGCCAAAGAAGCGGCGCGGCACGGCAAACGGGGTTGTGTTTTTGTTTTTAACCTGAAGTATGCGCATGCCCCGTTGGGTGCCTGTGTGCATCCCTGCAGACTTCGAAAAAACAGCAACACCTTTTCGCAAGGGGACATGGGCGGGCGCCGGATGCCACCGGAAACGCGATCAGACACCCGCCCTTGCCCCGCGGTTTCCGGAAACTAGTACCTCCGAGGTACTACTTTTTTACCGCGCATCTTCTGCGGGAAGCCTCGGGTGAGCCACGGGAGTTCGACGCTTCCCAGATGTGGCGTGAGATCGCGCCCGGAAAATCCGCCTATCTTCCGGCCCTCTAGCGTGCCTAATGCTCCGTGTGACCGCAGCCATTGAGAGAGAAACTCTGTACACGTTTTCCTGATTTTGGG